ATTTGGTATCCATATTCGACAAAAGCCAGGTTGGTGTTTTATTCAAATCCTTTGTTGTCCTTCATCAAAGGAAACAGTAGCCCCTAATTTACTAAACAGATCCCAGTAAAGATATTGGACATTCAGGAACATATAAAAAATTTGTGCTGAATCTTAGATCCTTTGAATACACATGTGACTGGCTTAAGGACTTGACGTCCTAAAACCTGTCCCGACAGCCCTTGAACTTGTATCAGATGGGGTCCCGGTGTGGCAATCTGACTGTTTACAACTGATCTCCCTGCTCCTATATCCACCAAAAATGTTGTCTGTTGACCCCCTATACCAGAGGTAGGCAACCTTGGCTCTTTTATGACTCGTGGACTTCAACTCCCAGAATTCCTGAGCCAGCCATGCTGAGGGGAAAGGGAGAGGTTTCCAAGCTGAGCCAGGCTGGCTGAGGGATTCTGGGAGTTGAAGTCCACGAGTCATGAAGGGGCCATAGTTCCCCCACGCTGGCTGAGGAATTCTGGGAGTTGAAGTCTACGAATCATAAAAAAGCCAAGGTGGCCTACCCCTGCCCTATACTCATAGTTACCAATGGCTCGGGGGGGGGGCTCTTCCAAGCCTGGTCCCCGTCAATCTGTCCACCCTGTTCCTGCTAATCCAATCCCTTCTATCTCTCTATCTCTTTCCATATTTCCTCTGTGTCCTCGGTTCCCCCTCATTCCTCTTCCTCTAAATCTGGTTATTGCCCCTCTTCCAAAGCCACCATGTCCCATTCCTGACCTTCCCCTCCAGCTCCGTCCTCTCATTATTCTCTTGGGGCATTCCCTTTGCCAGTGACCTTCCTCCTTGCAATTAGCACATTGGTTTGGCCCAAGCACTGTTCCTCTTTGCAATGCTCCCGCCAACAATTCTGCCTTCTTACGCATTCTAGCATCCCTCTCCTTCTTCTCCACTTTATCCCTATTAGCAAACACTTCCCTCGCTACCTCCAATAATTCAGTCGTATTCTTCCCTAAGGCTCCTTCCAGCCTCTGCAGCTTTTTCCTTATGTCATCATAGCTCTGCAGTATAAACCTTTCATTCAACATCCTCACATTATCAGCATGCCTGGGATCTATATGAGCGTAAAGCTCATACGCCTCGGTCAGTCTCCGAAGAAAACTTTCCGGACTCTCATCTGCTCCCTGGATCACTAAAGAGGGTTTGGACATGTTCACCGGGGGTTTCCCTGCTTTTCGGAGCGCTTCCACCACTAAATTCTGATATTCCTTCAACAATGTCCTATGTGCATCTTTCCTAACATTCCACTCCGGATCTTTCTCCGGTGCTCGGGCAAGTAACTCAAGTTGGATATCCTGCACCGCAGGAAGTCTCTCCCTCAGGCACTTCCTCACAGCAGCCCTCCACTTCTCCTTTTCCTCCAGCGTTAATAACGTATTCAACAACTGCTGTATATCCAGCCACGTCAGGTTGTGGGTTTGCATAATCGTCTGAAACAATTCCACCATCTCTATCGGTTTCACAGAGAGGGGACCATAACGCTGCTTCCAGTTGAACAGATCCGTCGTAGTGAAAGGAACATATTGAAACAGAGACTGGATTTGCCCTACTCCTTGCTGGTCTGTTACTTGCAGATCCATCTGCTTCAGAGGTGCTACACATTTAGCATCCTCTGCCCGAGCTGTAGCTGATCTCGTCATTCCTCCCACAGCCATAGCTAAGCCAACTCCCTCCTGTTCGTCCTCACCCACCTCACCGCTCTCCCCTACGAGGAGTTTTTCCTCTTTTAAATCCCTTTCTTCCTTAGGAGCTGACGGCCCCACTTTCCTTTGTTGCTGTCTCACTACGGGTTGAGCACCATCCGGCGCCACAGCTGCCGCCGCTGGCAATTGAGGCAGCGGGGGTGGCACATAAGGAGGGGGTCTGAGGACTACCTTCTGTACCTCCACCATTATTTCCTTTTCAGCATCTGGCACCTCCGTCGCCACAACTTTTACGTCCTTAAAGCGTTTGGAAGCAACCTGTAGCTTTTTACCCTTAGGTGTAGCTACACACATCTCTGCTTGTAATAAATCCTCCGCCTTCTCTGCCACCGCATCCCCCCACTGATCTATGTATTGGAACTGATTGGGATATTTCTCTTCATTAGCCGCTATTAGGGAGGTTAGAGCATCGATGGTTTGGTTTTTAAAGGTTCCTTCTGGGGGCCATCCAACCTTCATATGAGGCCACTGTTGCTCACACAGAAAACTCAGCCTTTCCTTGGTTACTTTTGGATAGGGGACCTTATACTGGGTGTGATTAAAGTACACATCGAATCTTTTTAACATGCATTCCAGCGGTGTGCTAGGAACGCTGCTGCGCCCCCCCATCCTAACAACACGGCCACTGAGTTACAGGGTCGGACGTTCCAACAGTCACCTATAGGAGCTACAGCGGCCTAACCACCCACACAGCCTAACCCGGACTACTTTAGGAACGACGACGTTCCGAGTCCAAGAGGGTGACGAAGCCTCCTCTTCTATCTTCAAGCGAGATAGGCACTTCACAATTTTAACACATACTCGCCTGCAGTGTCTTCACACTTGTCCTGGCCAGGCATGGGTTCAGACCTCCTTTCCTTCCCCCAAGGGGTCTTGGACGGGCTGTCAGCACCGGCCCTGCAGAGGAGCCACAGCTGTCCCACAGTTGTCTCCTGGAGGAATACTCCCCCGTGGTGCCTGGAGAATGATTGAGGAGTGACTTCTCGCCAGGTCCGAGGGGGTCAAGCCGCCCTCAGCGAAACATCGCCTGGCTCAAAAGCCCCTTGGTGGTCACCAGCCAACGGTTGTAAAACTAAGAGACCTGAGCCAGCTCTTTGGGGAAGGGAAGATTTACCGCACAGGTTCAGAGAGCTAAACAAAGCCAAGGGTCTGAACGCCGAAAGGGGCCCTGCAAAACGTACTTATACTCCTGAACACGTATACATTTCCTGATCGCATAGTATTCCTTACATGGCTATTTTCCATACATCCTCGCCTCAGCGTATTAGAGAATACCAGGCAGTTTTGACCAACCACGTGCTTCTGTAAAAACAGGATATGGCCCAGACAGAGCAAGGCTGAATTGGTTATCAGCTGCAAGACAGAAAACCTTCTATAGGCCCACAGTTTTTAGAGTGTCAGTATTTTTCCACTTTAGGCGGTGTGTATGTGTGTGTGTGCGCGCGTGCACATGTGGACAGAAACAGCTACCAAGGAGGTGAGAGGGCTGCCTGTGCTTGTGTGTGTGTGTGTGTGTGTGTTGCACCCAGATGGGAAAAACCACCAACGAGGCGAGTGGGCTACATATATGTTAAGGTGACCGAAGAATGGATATTTAAAGTATCTAGTTTTGCAGAAATGGCAAAAATTTCTGCTTATTTAAAGGATCATACACCAGAAAGATATATTACTGTATGGGGAAGGTGGATAGATTATATTCAGAAAAAGTATGGAATTAAAAATTTTCATTTATTTTATGAATGAATATTAAATATTATAGAGAATTGTTTTATAGGTTATGGAGTTAAAGGTTAATTATGATATTTTTTTTTCCTTCTCTTTTTTTTCTTTTTTTCTTTTTTCTTAATTATTATAATTTATTTTTTTTATTAACCCTGTATTCTGCTCTGGGAAGTGAAGGGAGGGGGGTTGGGGGTGGGAGGGAGGGTAAGGGTTTTTTTTTTCTACTTTAAAATTTTATTGTATTTTTATAAATGATTGTATGTTTAAAAAATAAAAAAAATTCAATCTAAAAAAAAAGGTGACCAACTTTTTTACAATGAAAAGGAGGACACAAATAAATTGAAGAAAAAAATATTGTAAATAAAAGAAACATTTTATTCATTGCAACAATAATACAGACAACTTGCATGTGCAAAGTTTGCCAGCCGGGTGTTTTGGCGCGCTCAGCAGCAATTGCTATTGGCTTTCGAAAGCCAATAGCAGGAGTAGCACAGCTCATGCAAACGTTGAAAAAAAAAACCATCAAAAAAAGGTGTCAGAACCCTGTTCTGAGCGTTCTATGAGGGGAAAAACAGCCCTGCAGATTAGTCTTCAAATATCGAAAAGGAGGACATGAAGGAGGACACTTTTTGAGGGAGGACAGAACTTACAAAAGGAGGACTGTCCTCCCTAAAGGAGACGATTGGTCACCTTATATATGTGTGTGTGTGCGTGTGTACACGTGGGCATTGCACCTGGACAGAAATAGCCACCAAGGAGATGAGAAGGCTTCGTGTGTGTGTGTGTGTGTGTGTGTGTGTGTGTGTGTCCCCCTTTTCCTTTTTGCTTTCTTTTTTTCCAAATCTATGGATCCCTTGCAACGTGAATTGTACCCCTCTTTAAAGAGGCGGTCCTCGACTTACGACGGTGATTGAGCGCAACATTCTGGTTGCAAAGTGAGACACGTTGTGGGTTTCGCCCCGCTTTATGGCCTTTCTCAGCACCGTTGATAAGTGAATCACTGCAGTTATCAAGTTAGGGACATGGTCGTTAAGCGAATCCAGCGTTCCCCCTTGGCTTCGTTCGTCAGGGAGGGTCGCAAAAGGGGATCACGGGACCCCGGGGGGGGACACTGCGACCGTCATAAATACGAGTCGGTGGCCCAGTGTCTGAATTTTGATCATGCGACCAACGGGGATGCTGCGAGGGTCGTGAGTGTGAAAAACAGCCGTCTCACTTTTTCCAGTGCTGTTGTGACTTCGAACGGTCGCTAAATGAACTGCCGTAAGTCGAGGACGGCCTGTCAATCAAATAACCAAACGGAGCCCCCCCAAAAGCCAGAACCAAAATTTTTTGATCTCGGTTTCTTTTTTGGTAATCGGAAGATTTGATTTAAATCAAATATTGAGGTTAAGGCTAGTGCGTTTCTGGAGAAGAAAAGGAGATGCAGATAGACTTCTCCTAAACTGGGGGCTTTGGGGAGGGAGGTCTGAAGGGATCCCGGGTGACATTTCTGAGGTAATTTTTTTTCTTTCTTTCTCCTGGCAGATGGACACCCACCACAGAAGTGTGGCGATCACAAGTGAGTTCCTACAAACGAGACTTCTAGGGCTGGGAGGAACTTTAGAGGTCCTCTAGTCCAGCCCCTGACCGAGGCAGGAGATCTGAGACAGGTAGTCCTCGACTTACGATAGTTCATTTAAGTGACCAAAGTTACGACCGTACTAGGGAAAAAATGACTTTCGACCGTTTTTCAGACTTATGACCATTGTAGCAGCCTCCCCCAAGGGTCGCGTGATCAAAATTCGGACGCTTGGCCACCGACTCATGTTTGTGGCGGTTGCCGTGTCCGGGTGGCGGGGGGGGGTGTCACGTGATCGTCCCCTTTGGCGACCTTCCGACAAGTCAACGGGGAAGATGGGACTCACGCAAACAACCGTGCTTCTGACTGTTAAGTGATTCACTTAACAACTGTGGCCGGAACGGTCGTAAAAAGGGGCGAACACTCACTCGCTTAAGCCACAGGAATTTAGGCTCAGTTCTGGTCGTACGTTGAGGACTACCTGCGCTCATTTGCAAGGCTAAGGATCTCTCCCCCCCCCTACACACACCAAAAAACTCTTCCCTTTCACCTGTCAAAGGGCTGCTCCCCATTTATTTTGGGGTTCCCCTATCACCTCTCTGTAAATTATAATAATAAAGTTGGAAGGGACCTTGGAGATCATCTAGTCCAACCCCCTGCTCAGGCAGGAAACCCTACACCATTTCAGAAAAAGGGCTGTCCAGTCTCTTCTTCAAAGCCTCCAGTGTTGGAGCATTTACCGCTTCTGGAGGCAAGGAGTTCCACTGGTTAATTGTTCTCATTGTTCTAATTCTCAAATGGAAATGGAGAAAGAGACCCCCCCAGAAGGATCTGGGACCCCCCCTTAATGCTCTTTGCTCCTTAAAGTCCCCCCCCCTCATCCAGCCTGGGCACAAAGCCAGAGGGTGGGGGGACAGGAGGGGACCCCCGTTTTCGCCCAGCCCTGGTATGACGGATGGTAACCCGCTTCCTCTCTTTTCTGCCAGTCCCGGATATCCTGAACTCCGGGGATAACCTGGATGCGGTGCAGGAGCCCCACTGGAAGGGCCAGATCCACGGCAGCAGGCGGGCCCCCTCCTCCCCCACCGCCATGCTGCTCTCCGTCTCCGACATCTGAGGACCCTCGCCCGGCGCCCACCCGCCTGGGGGGGGGTCCCGCCCTGAAGTTTTGTATTGGGAAGATTAAAGCGGCCGGCACTCGCTGTCTGGCTTCCTCTGCTCTCTCCATTGGCGGAGGGTGTGTTTGTGTGTGTGTGTGTGTGTGTGTGTGTGTGTGTGTGTATGCTAGTCTCTGCACACGTTTAAACTTGGCTGAAAGGGCATCTTTCCATAGGCCTGCTGAGTTTTGGCCTGAGGAGATGGCTGTATCCATCCCACACATCTATCAATCATTCTATCTGTCTGTCTGTCTGACTGACTGACTCTCCTCCCCTTTCTATTTACCTACCTACCTACCTACCTACATCTATCTATCTATCTATCTATCTATCTATCTATCTATCTATCTATCTATATCTGTATCTATCTCTATCTATCTCTATATGATCTATCATCTATCATCTATTTACCTATCTACCTATATCTACCTACCTATCTACCTATCTATCTTTCTATTCTATCTCTATTTGTATCTATCTCTATCAGCCTATCATCCATCATCCATCATCCACCATCCACCATCCATTATCTATATCTATCTACCTACCTATATCTACCTACCTACCTATCTACATATATACATATAGATATAGATATATAGATATAGATATCTTCTATAATCTACCATATCCATCTATCTATCTATCTATCCATCCATCCATCTACCCATCTACCTATCTATCTATCTATCTATCTATCTATCTATCTATCTATCTATCTATCTATCTATCTATCTATCTATCTACCTATCTATCCATCTATCTATCTACCTGTCTACCTATATCTACTTCTATCTATCTGTCTGTCTGTCTGTCTGTCTGTCTGTCTGTCTATCTATCTATCTATCTATCTATCTATCTATCTGTATCTATATCTCTATCTCTCTGATCTATCATCCATCATCTATCATCTATTTACCTATCTACCTATCTATATCTACCTACCTACCTATCTATCTATCTATCTATCTATCTATCTATCTATCTATTCTATCTCTATTTGTATCCATCTCTATCCTATCATCCACCATCTATCATCTATATCTATCTACCTATCTACCTATCTATCTACCTACATACATACATACATATAGATATAGATATATAGATATCTTCTATCATCTACCTTATCTACCTATCTATTTATCCATCTATATCTACTTCTCTCTCTCTCTCTCTCTCTCTCTCAGCTCAACATGTATAAGTGTCAGGCCAGTAGACACTCGTGCACATGCCCACCGACCCTCGTCCAGGCCCGCCCCTTAAGCGGCCCAGTGCCCCCCTCCCCCTGCCCCCCAGCTGGGCTGCCAAGCCTCACATTGGACCAGGCAGCTCCCGCAAGGGAGGTGACACGTGTGCAAATCAAGACTTGCGCAGAACCAGGCAAGCCACTAATTCTGAACCAATGGAAATTTCGGGTACTTTTCGCGGGCGGCCCCATGCAGAGCGCGTTGCAGTAGTCAAGAGGGGAGGTGGCTCAGGGTGTGGATAGCAGCGACCTGGGCTAGTTTGTTCCTTTTTCTCCCACTCTGCAGCCAGTGCTATTTCTACGGGAGGAAAAGGCAGAACGAGCTGAAAAAAAAATCAAATTCAGTTCCTAGTCATTTGGTGGTTATACCCGTGCAATTTTCTTGAGAAGAGTTTGGCAGCGTTTGGGCATATTTCTCATTTTTTTTTTAAATCCTGAAAGTAGTCTACGGCCCCAAGATTGCCTACTGGCCTCTCGTTAAGCCGATCAAATCAGATTTTGCTTTTTGGAGATGAGCCAAAGTTCACTTCTTTTTTTTTAAAAAAAAAAAAAAACAACAGTAAACATTTTAGTGCCATTCTTAGCTTGGCCAGCAGGGGGCAGTATCTGCTCACGGGTCTTTTTGTCTTCCTTGCCTCTCTGGTTCTTCAGCCCTTCGTTCTTGTTGATACTCCAAACCACTTGGAATCGGAAGGGACCTTGGAGGTCTTCTAGTCCAGCCCCTGCTCAAGCAGAAACTCTGTACCGTTTCACACAAATGGTTGTCCAATATCTTCTTAATCCTGATTTTTTTTTTAATTACTTCAATAAAACTGCGCCCTAACTATGCAGCTGCATATTTGGTAGGTAACATCATGCAGACATTCTCTCTGAATCAAAGCTACCTAAAGGGTTGTAGAGAAGGGAAATGGAAGAGGGGGTCCTTGGTGGTCTCAGCTTGGTGGTTTTCTTGCAGACGTTTCATGACCCAACTAGGGAACATCATCAGAACTCTGTGACAATCTTCTTAGCACTGGTGATGTTACCAAGTTGGGTCATGAAACGTCTGCAAGAAAACCACCAAGCTCAGAGAGCACTAAGGATCCCACAGTCGTCCCCCTCCCCCTCCTCCTCCTCCTCTTCTTCTTCTTCCCCCCCTCCTCCTCCTCCTCCATTCCTCCCCACTTCACAAACCTCATTCCTTGTAACACTGATGATGTTACCTAGTTGGGCAATGAAACGTTTGTAAGAAAACCACCCAACTCAGAGAGCACCAAGGACCTCACAGTCCTCCTCCACCACCACCACCACCACCACCACCATCACCTCCACCACCACCACCACCTCCTCCTCCTCCTCACTTTGCAAACCTCATTCCGTTTAGCACTGATGATGTTACCTAGTTGGGTCATGAAACGTCTGCAAGAAAATAACCAAGCTCAGGGAGCACCCAGGACCCCACAGTCGTCCTCCTCCTCCTCTCCTTCTCCCACATCACTCTCTTCTAGCACTGATGATGTTACCTAGTTGGGTCATGAAACGTCTGCAAGAAAACCACCCAGCTCTGAGAGCACCAAGGACCCCACAGTCCTCCTCTGCCACCTCCTCCTCCTCCTCCTCCTCCACCACCTCCACCTCCACCTCCTCCTCCCCACTTCACAAACCTCATTCCTTCTAGCACTGATGATGTTACCTAGCTGGGCAATGAAACGTCTGCAAGAAAACCACCAAGCTCAGAGAGCACCCAGGACCCACTCATTTCAACCCTGAGCTGCAAATATTCTCCTCTATCAATAGTAAAGTAGATTACCCTGGATTCCTGAGCTCTGATTAAGTTGGCCTACGGGATCCTCAGAGCGGGCCTGAAAGAAGAGGCGGCAATATTATTATTATTATTATTATTATTATTATTATTATTATTATTATTATTATTATTTTAACCAAATCAGAATGGATGCAGACGCCAGCCGCTCTGCTTAAAAGAAGTCTCTTTTTAACCACAGGACCAGCCGCTTTGGAAGCAGAGAGATTCTCTTCCCTAGAGACCTCTCTCGAACTCGCCTCTCTCCTTGCAAAATCTGGGAGGGGACTTGGGATCCTCTGGACAGCTCCCACGCTAGCCGTGACCCTTCGTGACATCCGGGTCTGCTTCCCATGACCCAGAGTGACGTTTCTAACCCGGCATTGGGGGGGGGCAATATTTCTCTCTTCCAGCCTCATCTCTTCCTTCGCTGTCCCGGACGAAGATGAGAAATTAAGAAAAAAGGAGAAGAGTTCGAAAGTATGAGTTTTTTGTGGACAGATATTAGGGCAGAAGGGGCTTAATTCGGCTTATTTTGGAGTCGGATTCTCATTCTGATGTAGGAAGAAGGAGATGCCGAAATCGCCATATTGGTGTAGAGTAGAAATATCCACCCTTGGCAAGTTTAAGACTTGCGGACTTCAACTCCCAGAATTCCACAGCCAGCATGGGGGAACTATGGACTTCAACTCCCAGAATTGTGGACTTCAACTCCCAGAATTCCTCAGCCAGGCATGGGAGTTGAAGTCCACCAGTCATGAGGGGGCCATAGTTCCCCCATGCTTGCTGAAGAATTCTGGGAATTGTCCACAAGTCATGAAGGGGCCCTAGTTCCCCCATGCTGGCTGAGGAATTCTGGGAGTTGAAGTCCACGAGTCATGAAGGGGCCATAGTTCCCCCATGCTGGTTCAGGAATTATGGGATTTGAAGTCCACGAGTCATGAGGGGGCCATAGTTCCCCCATGCTTGCTGAGGAATTCTGGGAATTGTCCACAAGTCATGAAGGGGCCCTAGTTCCCCCATGCTGGCTGAGGAATTCTGAGAGTCGAAGTCCACGAGTCATGAAGGGGCCATAGTTCCCCCATGCTGGCTAAGGAATTCTGGGAATTGAAGTCCGCGAGTCGTGAAGGGGCCATAGTTCCCCCATGCTGGCTGAGGAATTCTGGGAGTCCACAAGTCTTAAAAGTCGTCAAAGGTGGGTACCTGTAGAGTCTAAAGTAGCCCCCACCCCACTCAATTTTGCAGGCCTCCTCTAGTTCAGGAGAGCAAATTAATCCTTTTGTTGGCAGCTGATTTTATTCATTAGATTTTTTTTTGTTATCCCGCCTCTATTACTTTTATAAGAAACTCAAGACGCTGAACATACTGAATTACTCCTCCCTCCTCCTATTTTCCACACAAAAACAACCCTGTGAGGTAGGCTGGGCTGATAGAGAAGGTGATTGGTCTCCTGGTGATTGGCCTAAAGTTGTGCAGTTGGTTTACATGCCTAAGGTGGGATTAGAATTCAGAGTCTCTTGGTGATTGGTCCAAAGTCACCCACCTGGCTTTTATGACTGAGGTGGGACTAGAACTCACCGTCTCCTGGTGATTGGCCCAAAGTCACCCACTTTCATGCCTAAGGTGGGACTAGAACTCACAGTCCCCGGTGATTGACCCAAAGTCACGCAATCAGCTTTCATGCCTAAGGCGGGACTAGAACTCACCGTCTCCTGGTGATTGGCCCAAAGTCACCCAGGTGGCTTTCAGGCCTAAAGCGGGACTAGAACTCACAGTCTCCTGGTGATTGGCCCACAGTCACCCAGCCGGCTGTCATGCCTGAGGTCCGTGAAATATAATAACCCCCAAACCCCAATCCTTGTGACCATCCTGCCCGTTTTGTCCTTGGTTTTCTTTAGTCATCTTGGAGTCACCGTCAGAAGTTGGGTTTTCCAGGAACTTCGATTTAGACCAGCAGTTCTCAACCTGTGGGTCAGGACCCCATTTGAGGTCGAACGACCATTTCACGG